AACCTTAGCGATTTCTTATGGGATTTTACATGGGAAAATACGCCGAACCCGTGCTGCCCTTTTACTCGTAGTCTCTCTTCATTTGCCTTTGTCATCGTCCACGTTTCGCTTCCATACATCACAACGGGTCGTATGATTGTTTTATAGACCTGTATCTTCGTACGTCGTGTTAGTTGTTTTGATTTTATAAGGTTTTGGAGGGCAAAAATACATCTGTTGCCGGCCTGAATCCTGTTGTTTATTTCTTGTGATCCGTTATTGTCTTCAGTTATTGTTGTTCCAAGATACTTGAATTCCCTAACGCGCTCAAAGTTAAAGTCATCGATGGTAATGTTCTGACCGATTCTGTCTCTGCTTTGGTTATTGCGGCTCATATACATATATTTCGTCTTGTTTTCGTTGATTTGGAGCCCCATCTTCTCTGCTTCCTTCTCAAACCTTACGAAAGTCTCCTTCATCCTTAATCGCGTGTTTCCTATTAGATCTATATCGTCTGCAAATGCCAGTAGTAAGTTTGGTCCTTCTCGATGGAATACTGTATTCGGTTTTTCGATTCTTGCACTTCTGATAATGTGCTCCAGAGCTAAGTTGAAGAGTTGTGGTGAAAGTGCATCTCCCTGTTTTAGTCCATTGTTTATTTCAAATGTCTCCGAGTATTGTTGTCCAACTCTCACCTTACATCGTAACCGTTCCATACACATCCGTATCAACCGGACTAGTTTTTTTTGGAAAGCCAAGTTCCTGCATCGCTGTCCACAGTCTGTCCCTACATACTCTATCAAATGCTTGTTTAAAATCTACGAACATCTGATGAAGCTCACGATCAAACTCCCAGCATTTTTCCATTATCTGTTTTATTGTGAATATCTGGTCAATTGTAGAGCGGCCCGGTCTAAATCCGCATTGATAATCTCCAACGATTTCTTCTGTGTATGTTTTGGTTCTTTCTAGCAGGATGTTTGCAAGGATTTTGTAGGTGGTGTTTAGGAGTGTTATTCCCCTGTAGTTAATACATTACTTTTTGTTTCCTTTTTTGTGTATTGGTACAATAACCCCTTCTTTCCATTCATCTGGCATTGTTTCTTCTTGCCAAATGTCTTGAATTAGCTTGTATATCGAACTGTACAACGCTTCTCCTCCATGTTTTAAGCACTCTGCGGGTATACCATCGCTACCTGGTGTCTTATTATTTTTGAGTTTTTTAATTGCCTGTATTACTTCTTCGTATGTCGGGTATTGGTCTTCTATTTCAGCTGTATGTACCTCTATGTTTGATGTACTTCTGCTAGATTGGTCATTCAATAGTTGATAGAAGTATTCCTTCCAGGTTTTTAAGATTTCCTTGTCATCAGTGATAAGCTGTCCACTGTCGTTTTGAAGAAACTTTCCTGTTCTTGCTTGGTACCCGGTCTTGATATCTGAAACTCCTTTAAAGAACTGCCTCGCTTGTTTGTTCTTTCTTTTTTCTTCTATATCTCTGATTATTTGTTCCTGATACTCTCTCTTCTTCCTTTTCATTAGTTTTCTTGTCTCTGTTCTTCTTTGTCTATACATTTCATTGTTGTTGTGCGAGGGGCTTTGTAGCATGTTCCTTCTAGCCATATTTCTTGGTAATATGGAGTTCAGGCAATCATCATCGAACCATTTTTTTGTTGTTTTCTTTTTGTGTCCTAGTATTTCATCTGATACGCTTGTCAGAGCTACTTTGATATTTTTCCAAGCTGAGTCTATGTTGTTATAGTCTTCTGTCTGTACTAGAGCGATTTTTATAGCCTGTTGAAATTTCTGTTCTGTCTCCTTATTACGTAGAACTTCGGTATTCCATAATTGTGTTGGTGTATTCTTGTGTGTTTTTTTGGACGCTATTCTTGTCCTTATCTTCGCTTTTACAAGAAAATGATCCGTGTCTTCATCAGCTCCTCTTAGGCTTCTTACGTCTAGACAGTTACTACCCCTCCTGGCATCTACTAGAACATGATCAGTCTGATTTCTTGTGACGCCATCGTTGGAGACCCATGTTTGTTTGTGTATATTCTTGTGTTCAAACATTGTCGATTTTATTAGTAGATTGTGGGATGCTGCAAAGTCTATTAGCCTTGTTCCATTATCGTTGCTAACATCGTGAAGACTATGGTTACCTATTGTTGGTTTGTACGCTGCTTTCTTCCCAATCTTTGCATTGAAATCTCCTAAGATAATATGCATGTCCTGTTTAGGTAAATTATTTATCAGTTCCTCTAGTTTCTCGTAGAAGTTATCTTTTACATGCTCTTCCTTTTCCTCTGTCGGTGCATGGGCAGCAACTAGGGAATAGTTATGTAGTTGTCCTTTGATTCTGATATAACAAAGTCTTTCATTAACGGGTTTGAAAGTTAAAACTGACCCCACAAGACTTTCCCTGACTATAAAACCAGTTCCGAATTGATGTTCTCGTTCGCTTGCGCTGAAAAATACTACTGATTTATTAGTTTTTAGTGTACCTTCTCCAGTCCATCTAATCTCTTGTAGAGCAGTTATGTCCATGTTTCTGGATTCAAGTTCTTTGACCACCTGAGTTAAGGCTCCAGGCCGATATAGGCTTAGTACGTTCCAGGTTCCTATATTCATTGTCATTTGTCGTCGCTTTTGTCGTCTTAAAAGATCCGTCCTTATCCGAGGCATGTGCTTCGCTTTCATAACTATGTTTTTTTACAAGAAGGAATAGTTAGTCCCCTGCTTAACCCTCCTCCTTTCTCATCCTGGACTTGGGACCAGGCAACGGCGGAGTTTGGGCGACCGTGATTATAGGCGACCGTTGCCCGGTCGCCTATAATTTGTTATTATACATTTGTTGTGTAAAGCAATAATAGCGTAGATTTTTAATTTCTTTTTGTAAACAACATGTCTGTTTATAGGTTTATACGCCCGCAGAAAAGGTTCAAATAATAAATTGGTTTTATGATGGTAATCCTGGACAAAAGTGTGTAGATTTATTTTCTGTGTTTTTTGAGGAGAGACCATTTCCTTGCTTACAGCCAGTTCATAATATTGTTAAAAATGTTGAGAGTTGTTATTACCTCTAAAAATTGCAGAAAATGTCACGCTCAAGAAGTGTCACCAGAAAAAGCTTCAACTTTGCAAGTTCAGTAGATTCAACACGTTCAAGTAAAAGCGTTGCTAGGGAGTTAGATATTAGCGATGTTATTTTAAAGAAAGTGTGGAAAAAGCACGGTTTCGAGAATTTTAAATATTTGAAAACGCAGGAGCTTTATCCAGACGACTACTTTCCTTTTACAATTTTATTAAAAACATACGAGGTATTGGGCGCAGAAAAAATCACAACAGAAATGTCGTTGACCGAACTTAATGTCCTCAAAAAGTTAACGTCTGAACTGGCATTTTAGAAGACCACATAATAGGTCTATTTTTTATTAAGGGTAACTTGAATACCTCAATTTGTTACAGAATTATATTCTTTCCGCTATTCTCAATCTTCTTGATTTAAATGTAAACAATGTTTGTTTCAGGAAACTCTTACATCTCTCCGGAGAAGCTTTTATGACAGATTGGGATACTGTTCAGCTGTAGAAGGTCAAATATTTAAATCATTTCTATATGACATAAAGAATTATTTTACATTTTATTAGGAATTGTTTTTTATTTTTTAGAGCATATTTTTTGTTTTATCTTTTTAACGAAATGCGCTTTTATTTTTAAGTCAACGACAAAAAAGTGTTCAAATTAATAAAATCTGATACAAATGCACCGCCTTTTAATGGTTAGTGTATTTTATCGAGTTATGGTGTTATCAAACTTACTGTATGTATAATACTACTACTACATACTACTAAGGTTTATAACGTTCTCTGTCGTTTTGCGACTTCCAATGGCCACTTCGTCTGTGTTCCGTAAATCCAATTATTTGTTTTTTCTAGTTTTGAACTAGGGTGTTGAGTGCGGCTAGTCGTCTTGAGTCGTTGAGGCCTCGAGGGGCCTCGAGAAGCGCTGGATGGGTACTTGGAATCAAGATATCAGAAATGCTAATCTCATAGAAAACCCTACAATTAAACCAGACGGCTTTTCTCTTTTTCGTCCTGAATGGTGCAACCTTAATAGAATACGAGTTGGTCATGAAGATTGTAACAAGTCTTTGAACCAGTGGGGTATAAATGCCAGTCCGGGATGTGACAAATACAGCGCTGTTGAACAAACAATTAACCACATCGTCGTCGAGTGTCCAGCCGCCAAGTTCGTTGGCAGTCTTCAAGAAATCCACCAACTTACTCCCAAGGCAAGAGATTGGCTTCGAGGCTGTAACCTTCGATTTTAATAATTTTAATTTTATATGTTCTATGTTTGTGTTTTCATATTTATTATTGTTATTATCATTACTTTTTTAATGTGGAACTGCAATGTGTATATATATTTGTTTTTTCTCTCACCTCTTTGTTTATTCCTTCTTACTCTGCTTCGTTTTCTCCTGATTTCTGGTTGCGATTTAAGAATTTTTTTGTATTTGTTATTCATGCATTCTTTATATATGTCCGAATCAGAAAGTTGTTTTGTTATTAAGTCATCTGTGTCTTAATCGTTCTTTTAATTCCCATTACTTCTCCAACGCGTTTGTTAGTAATTATTTTTTTTTAGATTTTCTTGTCAGTCTTCTCCAAAAATTCATTTTTGTTTCTCTTAGTGTGACACTTAGAGTGATACGTTTTACTATAGTCTCATTTATTCAGTTTGTATTTTCTTTGCTGATGGATTGATTCCATAAAATATTGTTTGAAATTTTATTGACATTTCTACATGCCACACTTCTTGCTCTTATGGCTTAATCTAATGTTCTACTGTGCGAAATACTGATGTCTATATATTTTTAGTCACAGCAGTATTTTATCGTGATTCTGTCGTCTAATATAAGATCTTTTTATTGCCCCCCAATACACAAATATTCGGTTTTCTTTGAATTGGCTTCTAGACCCAATACATAGCACATGTTATTTTAATGATTTATATTTTAGGATTGGGTTATATATCTGTGGATCTCTTGAAGGATATTTTAAAGGAGCTAGAACCAAATCTATCACCAGCAGATCTCAATGAAATGATCAAAGAAATTGATACCGACAATTCCGGCACAGTTGACTGGGAAGGTAATAACAATATTTTTAATAATTAAGACAAATGTAATGGCTGTATATCCAGGATGACAATGTCAAACTCTCTTTCCACTTTATATTCTTTTCAAGAAATAACTAATAATAATAGCTGCATATACAGAATAATTTTAAAATTTCTACCGTTAATTATTTTGTTTTCTAGAAATAACTAGCAGACCCGACGTATGGTCCGTTTTCGGAAATCAATATATGTCGTCAATTTGAGTTGGCCAATGACGCAACAAAATCCAAGGGCTTCACCTTTGAACTTAATATCTTGCAATGTAGACACAAAACTTTGATTTGTCCAAAAGCAACGATTTGCTGTAAATCATAATCGATTGCCACGTTATAATTGAATACTACTCGATGGGGATTAAATGTAAGCCAGTTCGCTAATTCACGAACATCATATCGTTATGTTTGTCACCGGATTTAAATTTGGATTTCTATCTCAAATACGACTCCTTAACGAAACAATAATTATTATTTTATATTTAAACTTTGATCAAGTGAAAGGCAGATATCGAGCACGGTTTATTAATTAAATCTTGCCCAAGTACTTTTGCTTCCTAGAGCATCTTCAGGGGAATTTCGTCAATTGTGGCCTATCGAACAATCATAGAATGTCATAAACATACAATTATACATTATCCAAGGACAAACAGTTTAAAATTTTTAAAATAGCCGAAGCTACATTATGGTCGGCTTCCAGAGAGAAAATATGCAGAGAGAATTCTCTGTCCAACATTTAAGATACTGCCAAATTAACAATGGAGGACATTTTAACTACTGGATTAGGTAGACCTTAATGTAGTTAACCCGTAACCGGTGACGTGGAGTCTGAAAGACTCTTGCGAAATTAAAAACCGGTTTAAAATATTGAAGCAGAGGACTCTAGATGGCATGCGGCTAAGTACCTTTCTAAAAATAGTTAATAAACCAAGCGTTTTTGTTTGATTAGTTTACGTTTAGCCGTTTGCGAGAACAGACGTTATTGGAGTCAGCGAGACTCAACGTCACCGTTAGTTACTTTTTATCGAGTGTTTTATATTTCTTCGTATAAACTATAATGGATCATCTACCAAGTACGTCACGATCGGTTAGTGTTACAGATCCGTAATTTGAAGAGAAAGTGTTAAATTGGTTCAATGATTTGGACTCTGAATATAGTGATATTGATGATATTGACAGTGATGCGGTAATAGAAAGCAGTCATGAGTCGGCATCTGAGCAGTCTGATAGTGAATCTGATCTAGACGACAATATTCCAGAAACTTTAAACTAAGACTCGTCCAGTGGTGATGAAAATAATATATTGGCGTCAAGATCTTCAAACTACTTTTATGGTAAAAACAGATTTAAGTGATCAGCTAGTGCACCAAAAAATATTCGTACTCAAAAGCATAATATTTCCCTCCAAAGGAAATTTGGAACTGTTTATTTACAAATCAAATGTAAAATGTTGTAGTCGAATGGACAAATGTAAAATTGGCGAGTGTTAGGGTCAAATACAAAAATGAAAAGAGGCCGGAATTAAAAAATGTCGACCAGGTCGAAATGGAAGCATTTTTAGGCTTACTAATTTACACCTCAGTATTTAAGTCCAATGATGAAGACATAGAATGTCTATTTGCTACAGATGGAACGGGCAGAGAAATTTTTCGGTCCGTAATGAGTGCCAAGAGATTTGCAGTTTTATTGACTTGTTTACGTTTTGATGACCCTTTCACGAGAGAACAACGAAAAGCGGTAAATCCACTAGCACCAATTCAAGAACTATTTGAATCTTTTATTTAAAACTGTCAAACGGAGTTTTCTGTTGGTGAATATGTATGCATTGATGAAATGTTAGTTGGTTTCCGGGGTAGATCACGCTTTAGAATGTATATTCCAAACAAACCACGAAAATATGGACTTAAAATTATGATATTAACAGATGCAAGAAACAACTATGTGTACAATGCGTATGTATATACAGGCCAAGATTCCGACGGAATGGGCCTTTCAGTAACTGAGAAAAAGCTTGCTAAACCTACTCAATCTGTGTTACGGCTTTCTAAGCCATTATTTGGCAGTAATCGTAATGTGACAGCTGACAATTGGTTCACGTCTATAGAACTAGTTCAGTTGTTGAAATCTAATGGCCGAACATATGTGGGAACTATGAAGAAGGTTAAAAGACATATTCCTCCTGAGTTTCTTCCTCAAAGGCATAGAGAGATTGGTTCAGTTAGATACGGTTTTACAAAACACATTACCCTTCTTTCGTATGTTCCTAAAAAAAACAAATCCGTCATACTATTATCCTCCATGCATCATAGTATAGCCATAGATGAAAAAACACAAAAACCAGAAATAATTAGTCTGTATAATATCACGAAAGGCGGCGTTGATGCTTTGGATGAAAAATGTACGGTTTACAGTTCGTCCAGAAGAACGCAACGTTGGCCAATGGCTATATTTTACAAAATACTAGATATGAGTACAGTTAACGCTTTCGTTATGTATCAGTGTTATAGAGAATCCAAACCCTTAGACAGGAAAGATTTTATGAAGGTACTGGCTAAAAGCTTAATTGAAGCACACATGAAACAACGAATGTATAACAGCAGAATCCCGACAGAAATAAGAGAAAACATAAAGCGAATACTGTGCGTGGTTGAACCTCCTTCTATTCAAGAAGATCGGTTAGCAGTTCGAAAGTATTGCTACATTTGCCCATCAAAACTTCATAGGAAGACATCTTATTTATGCGTCTGTTGTAAAAAACCAATTTGCTTGATTTGTTCTCATAAAATATGCAAAAACTGTAACGTTCAAAAAGAATAAAAAAAAATAATCCCATTTTTTTGTCCTTATTTACCCCCTGCACGTTCCGTTACGTTTAGACTACTGATGATAATTTTTATTACCATAGATTATTCAATATTTATTGTACCTAATATTAAAACCATTTGTACATACCAAATTTAGAAATATTAAAAAAAAATTAAGTTTTCCGACGTAACACCGTACTTTATTTATTTGCAACTTTTGACAAAAATGTTAATAATAAGAATAGTCAGTAACAGAAAGAACTAAAAAGGCAATAGGATATTGCAAAAATGCCTAAAGAACAGATTATTATAAACAATGTGATAAAAAAATTATTTAAATTTCAATGAGACTAGCATATTTATGATGAGTCCCGGAGACTCCACGTCACCGGTTATGTTCCTAAAATCGGACGTCACCGGTTACGGGTTAAAGTTTCGATAAAGATACACTATACGGAGTCTTGTGTTTAAAAAACCAAAAAATATCAAAAAGTATCAAAATGTCATAAATGATTAAATGATATAAATAAATGGTAAAAAATTATAAATTTGGCAACGTTACAAATATCAAATTTCAAATCTCGATATTGCATAATAGGTGTATCCCTATTTTTGTATAATTATGACTATCCATTTAAGAGATAATTAGACGTTTCCAGAATTTTGGTTTACTCTATATTGTACTATATTGTACTATATTTACTGAATAAGACAATAACCGTGCAAATGTTATACATTGTTAGATTTTACTGCTAATATTTTCTTTTTTTTTTTCAGAATTCAAAGCTATGATGATTGGTTAAAAGAATATAAAGCACCACAAATCCTGTAATAAAAAATACTTAATAAAAATAGTAAAAAGTGTTTTCTAATCATTTTCCTTGTTAGATTTAGAATTTATATTCAATAAAAAATAATGAAAGAAATAGTGTGATTATTTTTCAGTAGCATGGGAATTGGGTGTCACTAATACGTTCTTTACGAAGACTGAAGACCAGTATGTTACCTATAGTAGCGGGGAAAGGAAAAGGCACATACATTTTGAGCTGTGTAGGAGAAGTCAGCTAAAAGAGGTTACGAACTGTAAAGTAATAAAGGGTGAGTGTAAAGCTAGTCAACACCGACCGGTGATAGTGGATACAGAGAGAAAGATGAGACGAAACGGAAGGCAAGCAGGACACCAGAAAGTGAAGTGATGGAAGTTAAATGATAAAGATTTAGCAATAGTTAAGAGTTGAGTGCTGGAAGAGCTTGAGAAAGAAGATACAGTAAATGACTGGTGGAAAGCCAACAGTACAGTTGTGTTGCTAGTGGAAGAAAAAGAGCTGGAAAAAATATCTGGTAAAGGGCCTCCTAGAGACAAAGAAACTTGGTGATGGAACTATGGGGGACAACAGGTTAGATAGAATAAAGGCGCCAGAAAGAGGTATGGCAGATCTAAAAGAGAGGAAGATATATATAAGGTGGCAAAGAGAGAAAGCAAAGCGTGCTGTAGCTACTGCTAAGGAAAGATCGTCTACACAGTTGTATGAAGAGTTGGAAACACCCGAGTTGATAGAAAGGTTCTACGCCATTGCTTAAGCAAGGGACAAGTCATCAAAGGACTTGACCCACTTGCGGCAGATTAAGAGTGCCGATAAAAGAGGGAATAATCGATGTAAAAATAAAGCAAAGATGGCATAAGTATTTTAGTAAGTTGCTAAATAAGGAACACCAGAGGAGAACCATGGGATACAAGATCCCAAATGAGAATGTAATACCGGGACTAGCGAGAGATGAAGTTGTCAAGGCATTGAATAGGACCAAGAACGGTAAGGTAATAGGACCTGATGGAATACCTGTGGAGGTTTGGGAGGCTCTAGGAGAGAAGGAGTTGATATTTTCTGGCAAATGATGAGTAGGATATATGAGGAAGAAAAGATGCCCAATGCATGAAGAGAAAGTGTAATGCTAGTATTATATTAAGATAAAGGGGACATTCAGAACTTTAAAAGACAGCGATACGAAAAGAAGAGTTTGGGTTTATGCCAGGAAAGATCACAAAGGATGTCTTGTTTGCGTTAAGACAGTTGATAGAGAAATACAGCGAGAAGTAAAGAGAGGTACATTTGATATTTATAGATCTTGAAAAGGCGTACGATACAGTTTCAAGACAAGAGCCCAGGAGACGTATTAGAGAGAAGGACTGCTATCAGATTGACCGAAACTTATTCAATGACAGTTGGTTTTCTTCAAAGCTCTCTAATGAGTCCTTACCTGTTTAATCTTGATTTGGATCTAATGACAGAGAAAGTAAGGAAGGGGCTCCTCGGTCAATGCTCTTTACTAGTGATACCGTGTTAGTATATGAAAACAAAAAAATGTTGAGTGAGAAATTGGAGTATGGGAAAAGAGCTTTTGAAGAGGTAAGACTTAAAGTTAGCAGGTCATAAATGGGGTATATGTGGTCGGGAAGAACCGAAATGGTTGGAGACGTAGAATTACTTGAAGAAAAGCTAAGACCAGTAGGAGAATTTAAATACCTTTGCTCCTCTATAACGGAAAATGGCACAATATATCGAGTAATTGCCCACAGAATACAGGCTGGTTAATTTAACTAAAAGCAAATAAGCGGGGTACTTTGTGATCGAAAAATAGGGAACGGCCAAAGGGAAAGATATACCTACAAGATGAGAGCCGCTTTTATTACAGAATGCTTTATTAACGTACAATTTAATAATACTTTATATCTAAACGAGAGTTTTTGCTAACATATTAAAGAAATAAAAATAACCTATAAATGCATTTAAGATCCTATTTGCTACTTTTATACCTAATTCTAGATTAAAAACTAAAATAAAATCTTTAAAAAGAGTAAATCGTTGAATTTAATTAAATTATTATTTATAGAATACTATAAGCTTATTGTTTAACTTTCAGTATGGACGAACCACTAATTATATCTATTTTAGCTGGCGCAAATTATTAAGGAATAGAAGTGTTAGAAATATCTATAAATCAGTATAATATTTAAACAATAATTATGAAGAGTTGACACTAATTGAGAATAATATTAATACTAAAAACAACATTCATTAAGTATTTTTGTGATCTGTATACAGGCGGCGTTTATTTTATTAGAGCACATAGTAAAGAACGCACAATTACGCATGCGTACATGTCAAAATAAAGTTGCTTTTATAAAAGGATGATCCAAAATACATCTTCAGTATCTCTCATAATAAAAATAACTATTTAATTTGGTGCCGTAGTTCTGAAGTTATGCCCGTATAAACATTTTGGTGATTCATTTTTATTAATATGGATAATATTAAAATAATAAAATTCCACAGTATTCAAAATGATTGAAATAAAAACATGATCTTTAAACCATTAATTTAAATTATTAACTTTTTCTAAATTATCAAATCTAAAGTACACTTTTAGGGCCAACTTGTGAGTTCGTTTTGGTCGATCTAATTAGGAAACTTTAAAAATAGTATTATGCAATAAAGTACGTCCACTCTATCTTTTCCCGTGTGTCATGATTCATTTTCAAACAGGTTAAATCAAAATATGAAATGAAACGTACGTCGATGTGCAGATAACTATCATTGATACCTACTACTGTCAATGTAATAATAACGAAATGGCTATTATCCCGGTGGATGTAATTTATAAAGTTAAATTTAGTAAATATATTATTTATTATAATTTTTGTGTATTTCGATTAGTATTCGTCGAGAATAGGATTAATAAAAGTATGATGAAAAGAAGTTTAAAAAGTAATCTTAATATCATTTGTATAATCTGTAAAAATAATTAATTTTGTATCAATTTTATTCCATGTAGCTGTGGAACACCTCGTGTTGTTGCCTTACTTTTTTTTTTGTTCTTGGTATTATTTTAAGGACTTTTTTGGAAACTAGTACGTATTAAAATTAGTTCATTTTTAAAGAATTATACAAATAAACTGTTTAAAATATATTTATTTTGTTGAAATCATATAATAGAGGTATAGCTTCTTACGTGAGTACCAAGTACAGAAAGTCTTCTTTTTATTAAAGTATTTATTATTTTTTACTAGTGTGGAGATTGATGGACCCAACAGTAAACAGCATGAAGCTCATATTGACTATTACTAGTATAAATATAAATATAAAAGGGTAATAAATAAATTTAAAAAAAGAAGTCTCAACAAAGTTAATACTGTTAAGAAGATTTATTATTACTAATGTTGAGAAATATAAAACTATCGAGTGAATTACATAAAAAACAATTAATATTTTTAATATATCGCACCTTTAGGAAAACAATGACATAAGTGCAAATTTTTCACAAATTGAATTATCAAAACTACAATCTTACTCGTCTTTGTCTGGGGACCCAAAAGTCAGAACTGCAACTCTGCCTTTTGTCACTCATGTGAATTTGACCCATTTATTAAATAAATTGATAGAAAAGGATCTGTTTAGAGGTTATCCTATGCAACTTAATATTGTAGTGAAAGACATTGGTTTAAATAGCTAAAAAATGATCCAAAGCGAAGACTGATCGAACAATCTCATATTGCTGTGAAGAGAGCAGAATATATAAAAAATATAAACATGAAGAACTATACAAGTTTGTTTTTATAGATGAAATTTGATCTATAGATCTATATGTCGCTTATGGGAAGTGGAAAATGAAACATGTGTAAAATATATTAAAACTGATGGAAAACCGTAATGTATTTATATTCATCAAAATATATAACCGTAATCTTATTGAAAACATGAAGGTTCTAAAATATTTTTTTGTAGATATATTATTCTTCATGCTAGTAATGAAAATGGCTTCACTAATGGTGCTCAGGCTATATTTTCCTCTAAATCAGCTATAATGGACTACCATGAAGAAACGAATCAAGCAAATTTTTTATAGTGGTTTGAAATTCAACTATTAAAAAATTTGTCTGAATCATCCCCAATAATTATAATAGATAACGCTCACTACCATAGCATGTTCTTCAAAGTACCAAACA